TTTTCTCATACATGCTTGACAAACTAAATTAAATAATAAATAAATAAATAATTCTAGTGTGTAGGAGCTGAATTAACTAGGATGTTGCAATGTGGCCTACAGCACTGGTACCTAATCTTACCAACTTTAAGATATATGCACCCCAACTCCCAAAATTCTGGCTGGGAAATTCTGGGAATTGAAGTCCACATGTCTTAAAGTTGCCAAGACTGGGAATTTCTGGTCTAAAGGATAGGGCCACTATTTCAAATGTGAAACTATTTCACTGTGAGTCAGGTAAATACCAAAGGGATTCATTGCCAAGCATGTTGTACTGACTGGCTTCCTTGTGGCTAGAGAAAAAACAATCAAAGATAAAAGACAAATGTAGAACAGATGGAAAGAAAACCAAGGTACCTTATCAGCCAGTTCTTTCTGGATTTCAAGTGGCAGGCTTTTGTCCCAATTTGGACTCAACATGGTTGGTCCAAAACAGATAGCGAGGTTGCTGGAATCCATTTTGTTGACTTTGGAGTTTTTGCTGATGTGTTGAAGAAGAGAAAGCACGCGTTTGAGCAAATGAAGATTCGGCTGTGGCAATTTGCTTGCAACCCTGCAAAAATGAACATAAGAAAAAAAAAAGGTCACCCTTAGATTGCAGCTTTTGATTTTTTTTTAAATATGAGCAACACTTCCTCTAAAATGTGGAAGTATTGATTTAAAGTGGTTACCCAAAATTCCCATTCAAAAGTCCCAGTCAGTGAATTCATTGTGAGTTTCTCTGTGTGGGAGATGGGCAGTTACAAAATGGTAGCTAACTAGCTAGATAGCTTGATAGCTAGCTTGATCGATCGATTGATGGAGGGATGGATGGATGATGGATGATGGATGGACTGAATAAATGCCTGGGTAGACACCAAGCAGAAATTTTCTCTTGGAAAATTATGGGGTGAAATGCTCCTAAATTTATAATTAAACATGTATGAGATATGTATAATATGCACATGTGGGTTTTTTTCATTATGTGGTATTTTGATTAATTCCTTATACTTCAGCTGAAGATATTACAAGTATTCCTTGTTTAGCGACACAATTTGGGTCTGACAGTTTGGTTGTTAAAGCAAAGCAGTTGCAAAGTAAAAGCACAACTCTGCTTATGTTCTTACTTTAATTTTCTTTTGCTGGGAAAGACGTAAATGTGAGGACTGACCGTTAAGTTACATCTTCATCACCAGCATAGCCAGAGTTAAGCACATTTTATTCCTTGCATTGTATTCTGGCATAGTTTCAAATTTGAAATGAATTGATGGCATTGTGTTGTAATGAAGTCAGTCAGATTTGATTATGGGATAATTAATATTACTGCTTTCCCCCACTCATGTTCTCGCAGCCTTTTGAAATGGAAGGAAGGGGGAAAAATGGCATTTATTGCAAAAGCCATTTAGTTTTTACTTTCCCCATTGCTAGTGTTTGCAGTGAGGATTTATTCCTCCTCCCCATTATTAATAGTTCCCCAGCTTTCAATAAAGATGAATAAGAAATGTGGAAAATAAAAAATATGGAAACCCACACATCTAGTCACAAGAAAGCATCTGAAACTGCAACAAAACACAAACCTAACCACATTTTTTGGGGGAAGAAATTCTATTGAATTGAATGAGAAGGACAAGGAGTAAAAATTGCATGGAATCCTTGGGTAGCCAGGCTTACTTGACAGCAATTAGTTCCCACTGAAAATTAGTGTTATTTTAAGCAGACACAGAGTTTCACTTCAATATAACCTTTTATTTTTTTCTCATTTCACAATAGATAGGAGATGTAGTAAAACTTTAACCTGAAGTCTATAGTCTTAGATAACATTTTCTCTGGCATCAATCACATTTTCCAGATAAAACTTTTACCTAGCTTTGCTTCATTGATGAGATTTTAGGGAGGAGGACAGAATGAGGAAAGGAACTGGTTATGTCATTTCCCATTCATAATTCTCTTCCATAGTTTTTTGTTGCATGAGTGGGATTAAAAAGGGAATCATGTAACGCTTTAAGAGCCATCTGTCTGGAAACATCCTGGTAAGGATTTCAGAATCTGTGTCTATTTGCATTGCTTACTACAGAAAAACAAAAAAACACCCTTGGAAGAGAGGTCCACTTACTCTTTCATGGCTTCAGTTTTCTCTTGATGATTTATTTTTTCTAATGCTGTCATCCACTCATCATAAAGTTCAGTCAGCAACAATTTGTGGGGAATACTTCGGAGGAAATCCTGCAAGAAACAAACTTCAGTTAGGGTATGGTAGGCAACTGACAGCCAACATACATCTTGGAACACTTTCAATTTGGTTCATACTACAGTTTCCTGGGGCTGTGTATCCCAAAGTCAAAGACAGATCATAAAAAACCCAGCTGTCTCCTACCATTTTCCATCAGGAGGCTAACTACCTAAGATGCAGCAAGAGCGGAATTTATTTCCTAACTGCACTGGTTTTAGGAATATCTCTTCCTAACACTTGAGAAACTGGGATCTACAATAAGAAACCAAAATTAATAGAGGTATACCTTAAAAACCACAGCTAGCAGATAAACAGACTTTTTTCCTAAGGCAACGTTGTCTCCAGCATTTAATTCCTCTCTCAGCTCCTTGCGTGCCTTCTCATTGGCAGCTTTTCGAAATATCCCTTCAGAAAATGGTCCTTTCTGGAACAGTATTGTAAGGATACCCTATAACGTGAACAGGAATAAAAAGAATATCACATGTATTAAGATCCAGACAGGGAACTGAACACCACCATTCTCCTATGCTCACTATTTTAGTAGCGTGTATTTGGCAGGACAACATTCATATACATTATGATACTGACTTCCCGGGTTGGGTTACATGCAACTATTCTCTATTCTTCCTCCATTATTTTTTTTTCTCCTCATATTATTTTCCCTAGCCTTTCGTCTCTTTCCTTTTCAGCTAACCCAGACTTAAGTAGAAATTCCTTTCTCCCTGAAGAAGGCAGGATTCTTGACACAATATTATAAAACTTCAATAATATACCGTACAACTCATGATTCTGTTTCGCCTTAGAGAAAAGTTTACCTGGCATAGATTTGAATTATTTTAAAGAACGTGTAATCGTAATTCAACGTCTTCTATATAGGACTAGCAGGAAGAAGAAAATCCTCATATTGCTTAGGTTAGGGCAGGGGTGTCAAACTTAATTTCATTGAGGGCTGTATCAGGACTATGTTTGACCTTAGGTGGCCGGGGTGGGCATAGCCAGGGTGGGTATGGCCAGATTGACATCACTCGTGTCAGGGGCACCTGTGGCCTGAGCGCTCTACCAGTAAAAACAGAGCCCCCGAGCTCTGTTTTTGCTGGCAGAGGGCTGCAGGAGGCCATCACAGCCAAAAATGGAACTTGTGAGGACTGTCTTCCTGAGTTCCGTTTTTGCTGGTGGAGGCACTGCAGGCCAGATCTTCTAGGGCAGCCCCATTTGGGCCAGATCTAAGCACCCCGTGGCCAGATCTAGCCCACAGGCCTTGAGTTAGACACCCCTGGGTTAGGGATTATATTATACAGCCAAAGCACAAAGCACAATTCATACATGAGGAATACATTACCCTACTGCTTATTTACCTGTATAGATTTGGGCAGCGTATCTTCAGCACCGTAAACGAGAGACAGAGGAAGACCAAACAAAGGTGATTTCAACACAGATTCTATATGTCCCCGACTTTCTGATTCATGGGTAGATCGTCTGAACGTAAATGGCAAAGATATCACATTCTTTCTTTTCCTGTGACGATCTGTTGAACAACAAAAGAATAGGAATAATGTGCAACAAATAAGTGACATTAGCACTAGATGCATGAATATAGGATTATAGAATTATATGAATCAGCTGTTGGCAACAAAATGATTTTCAGATGTTTTAAACCACAGGTGTCAAACTCCCTGCATCACATTGCCGTCACATGATGTTTTGCGACATTTCCTCCCTTCACATAGCTGGGGTGGACGTAGCCTGCACATGATGCATCCAGCCCACAGGCTGCCAGTTTGACACCCCTGCTTTAGACTATAGCTCCTACTCTGATCAATTGCCACTCTGGCTAGGCATGGATTGGGGATATTGAGCTTTGTAGTCTATTGCAGATTGGGGAAAGTTACTATAGTTGTACAGGTAGTCTTCAACGTATCACCAAAATTGAACTGAAAATTTCTGTGGCTAAGTGAAACATTTGTTAATTGAGTTTTGTCCCATTTTATGATCTTTCTTGTCACATTTGGCAAGTAAATCCCTGTAGTTATTCACATTCTTTTTAAGGGAATCTGACTTCCCCATTAACTTTGCTTGTCAGAAGTTTACAAAAGGTGATCACATGACCTTGAGACACTGCAACTGTCATACATATGAGTCAGTTGCTAAGCATTTCAATTTAATCACCTGACAATGGGATGGTGCAATGGTTGTAAGTATGAAAAATGATCTTAAGGCACTTTTTTCAGTGCTGTTGTAATTTTGAATGACCACTAAGTGAGCTGTTGTAAGTCAAGGATTACCTGTACTCCTTATCAGCATCCAGCAATGCCAGAAGGAAAATGAGATCGATTGAATTTAAATAAATGCAGTTTGCAAAACTTTAGTAGTAGCAAAAGGGCCAGCCCAGTTGTTCTTGGTGTCAGAGGTGAAAATTGGTTTCTTGTCGAAAGTGATTGAGAACATTCAACGTAGTAAACATATCACATTTGAACAGATCACAAACCTAACTTAATTAAAATGGCACTTAACTCTGTTCTACTATCAGGCCAGCTATAAACTCTCTACTTCCACCGTTGTTCTTGCTGGAATCATGCAGTCCGTATCACTTGCATATTAAAATTTTATGTACAATTCCCTTCCTAAGGAAATCAGTCTCTATTTCAACCATCACTGGTAGCAATTAAATATGTAGTTAGCCTGCCATCCTATGGTTTGTTTTAGAACAGCCGACTGGTCAACCATATAGTTTACAGCTGTAGACCTTTTATATTGTCACCAGGGGGCAGTTTAGAGTTATAATTTATGATTTAAACCTGAGAACCCACCAGCCTATGGTTACTACATAAAAATGTGGCCATTCTCAGTGTCAGAAAAGAGTGGGCAATTATCCATTTCCTAGACCAAAAGAGAGCTTAAGTTTCATTCTGTCACTTCCTGAACCTTTCAAAAGGGCAGAATAAATGCCCTTCACTTGTAGAGAACAAAGTTCAAGGTACATTGGGCTTAGAAGAATTCCACCGTTCATGTTTAAGAAAGGTTGCACACATACCAATCAGCTGACATGGCTCATCTTCATTATCACATGTCATGGAGAGGTGACGTTTTTTCAGATCCTCCTAAAATTTAACAAGTCAGTAAAAATGATTAGTTCATCATGATCATAGAGTCAAATAAAGCTGTAATGCATCACGTCGCTCAGTTCCTCAAAACAAAGAGACAAAACCCACACTCTCTTGTTTCAGGAAAAGATGCATTCAATTGTAACATTGAATTGCACTCAACAAAAAGTATGAAAACTGTTCACAGCTGTCCCCTTTGGTTAAAGGAATCCTTAGTGAGCTCTGCAAATAACATAGATCCAAAACACGATCACAAGCAAAACACGGTTGGTTTCACACCATTGGCCATGGTTACTATTGACATCAATAGGGCTTTTATTATTTGGGACTAACTAAACTTCTATTGATATCAATGAATTCCTTCTAAGTTTGAGTGAATAATGAAGGCCTGCAGGGAAAGGTGAAGAAAATTAAACAGATACAGTTCAGACAGGAACTAACATGTGATAGAGAGGATTGCAGTCAGGAATTTCCCAGGGCAAATGTGAGCTGTTTTATGTGAACTGGTCTTTGGATGTCAGCCATACATCCAAGTAAGGCTATAAAGGGATTGCCAACTGCACTGGAAACAGGCTCACTGAAATTAATAGGTTTTTGGAAGTAACAGGTGTTTAGCATTTGGACATTATAATCCAGGACTCTGTCATGAGCACAAATCTCGTCTCTTTGGCTTGAACTGTAGCAGGGAGTGTAACTCACTCATTCACATCTAAACAGATTTCCTAAAATTGCTAATGAGCATGGATGGCAGTTCAGGAGTTTTCATTTCATTCAGGTTGATTTGAATTCAGTAACTACTGTATAAAGGTACAAGCAAAGGATCCAAGTGTACTATGATAAAATATTGACTAGAAATACAGTGCTATTAAAAATAACTCCCCTCCTCAAGCTAAAGCTTAGCAGGATTAACTGACCATGGCTTTACAAAAGCGTAGGATGTGTTGAACAATTCTGAGTTTACTCAGAAGTAAGTCTTATGGAGTCCCATAAGAAGTAAAGTACACTTACAATCACAAACACTAATACATAGAAACAGCAAAGGGCTTTATGTGTATTTACCTCTGACGAGTGTGCAGTTAAAGCCTCCATCTCTTTTGAACTTAAACTTTTGGGCTGTAAAATAAAACAAAGGAAAAATATAATCAGAAACCATCTAGTTTCAGCAGCACTAATTTGCAACACTTCTAGAGAGAAGAATATGAAGAGAAAAGGCACTCACTGCATTGCAACTGCTTAGCACCTTCATCAGTAACCAAACTGTTACAGCTTTAATGAACTTGCTTGCCTGGATTTCTCTTGTTTGCCTATTTCAGAAGACAAAAATGATATTAGCAATCTCTGCTAAAGCACACAACTGTACTTTTTTTCCATTGCAAAATTAAATTCGATACAGACAAAGCAATTTAAGGCAGAAGTGCGGCCTAAGTAATTCATTTTTTTCTATTCATTGTTTCTGATTTCTGAAGGAAAAAAAAAACACGTCCAAAACAAGCTTGACTACTCTATAGACAACATATCCACTCTCTGGAGAAAAAAAAAAAAATAACTTGCTGAAATAAATCCGAATGAACAAGTCCTACAGATAGCCCTTCACAGGACAGTGTTACAGCAGCTGTGAAAACCACTTGTTAATCACATGATAAGTCAAACAAACATTCTACAGTTTGAATCAGCAAGGGAAGACATGAATAATTCACTAAAAAAAACCAAGTCATACAGTATATGTTAGGAATTTATCAGCCGGTCAAGCCTCGTCCCGGGGTTCATTATGAACAAGCATTTTGTCAGCAGTACAATGGAGCTAAGCTGGCAAGAGGGTTGGGGCTGAAGGCGATCTTCTTTCTGATTCAAAGCCCCAAAGTAGAAATCAAATCCATATGCTTCTCTTACAAACTTACCAGGAAAGGGTCTCTGGCTGAGTTTTTTTCACCTTACACGAACTGCAGAGGAGGAAAGCAACATAACTGCTTGGCTGTAACTGTTGTAACTCACGGGAGAACGCTGAGGATTCAACCACTCCGCTCCACATGTGCTGCATTCGGAATTGACTGCTGGTGGTTGTAGTTGAGGAGGCAGGTGGAAAGCCACAACGTCAGAACAACAGGAAAAAGCATCACAGTCAGAGGGCAGAGCTAAGCGAAGCATTCACTGGAAGATGCTTGCTAGCTCATGGGTTTCCTCTTCCTTTTAGGGCAGCTGAAGCAACTGTTGTAAGAGAAAAAATTTTCCCACTTCTTACAAAAAAAAAAAAAAAAAAGTCCAGCGTGGCCACTGACAGAAACGTGATGGAACAAATGAGGTGTGTCGCAGGCTGAAGTTCCAAATTACAAGGAGAATCGGGTGGGATGTGTGAAAAACTCTAGTGCTGTTAAGTTTAAGAGGGCCTACACAATTGTAAAGGGCAACTAACACGTCCAGACAGAAAATTCTTATCAGAAGAGAATATCTTTTATGTACAATTTGCCTGAAGATATCAAATCTAACCACATGTAAACCTCAGTGGCTTTAAAAGTACAAGTTTAAATCCTCAACTAATCTTTTGAAAAGTACCCATCTTGTGCACGGAGAGGTGTCAAACAAATACATCACATTCCTTTTCTCAAATTTTATTTTATCATTTTATTGTTTTGATTATTTTTTCACTTTGGGGGATGGCATTGAAAGAAAATAGTGGTATCGTATAATGATCAGATTCTTTGTTACGTTTACTCCAGTATGTACAGTATATGTCTAAAGATTGATGCTTCCCCTCACTCCCTCTCTCTCTCTTTCTCCCTTTCCCTTTCTCCCTGGGTGTGTGTGTGTGTGTGTGTGTGTGTGTGTGTGTAGGTGTATGTATGTGAGTGCATGTATGTGAAAAAAATAGGAGCAATTTTTACATACTGTAGGTGATTTTCCAGAATGGTCCTTTGTCCTCAGAAGATTTGTGCATCACAGACTTGAATATTCTGAGCTATGCATCCTTAAAGTAAACATTAAAAAAATCCCCAAGTGTCCCACATGTAGATCTACTCTCCAACTATGCAAAGCGACCAGTTCACTGTTTTAAAAAGAAATGACAGATTAGGAAATGACCCCTCTTTCAAGTCCCATAAAGTGTAACAGAAACCCACCAAACTAGTGGAGCAGCTGGTGGGAGGCAGACGGTACCAAGGGAATGAGCGGTAGGCGGAAAATAAAAATGGAAAGAAACAATGGGCTTGCGGCAGCTGCTGGAGGTGGGTATGCATTTTGTAAAGACACAGGAGTTGCTAAGCTGATTTTGCATCTCATAGTGACAGATGGCTCACACAGAGAGGCTTGGAGCCTTCCTTCAGCTGCTCAGAGTTTGGGATTCTCTGTTTGAAGACCAAGAGAACTTCAGAAGCCAGTGTGTATATGTGTGTGTGTGTGTGTGTGTGTGTGTAGGCTTGGCATGTTCTTCGTAAACTAGGCAATCTCTGATTCCAGAGATTTGGGGAAATGAGATGATTTGAAGAAAAAGGACATGATAATCAAGCAGCCTCTTGGTGTGTCCCCAGTTTCTATAATTAAGAAAGGGGGTTTTCTTTCTTTTTCAGGCTAATATATTTGCACAAGTGGGATGTAGCTTGGATAAATGTTCACTGAGAAAACTCCCTGATTTTTTTTATTGCCAAATTCATTAGATACTTTGACTCCTGAAATGGGAACCTCTTGGCGTCTGTTCAGAGATGCCACTACCTGCTTTAAAAAAAAAAAAATTATTAGTTTTTAAAAACAAACATAAACAAACAAAACATAAAAACATCAAACTATCTTCCATATGCGTACATACAGTGTGCCAGTTGGTTTACAGATTGTTTTGTGCTTCCATTTCGTAGTCTTCAATTACAATTACATTGCATATAATCTCATATTTTCAATCAAAAATTAAGTACCTTGGTATCATTATTAATCAATCATTTGACTATACTTTAATTCATTCATGTTTTACAGGATAATCATAATTTACTTAGTTTATTTTATAACAGTTCATATTATCACCCCAAATCTATCCTAAAATCATTTTGTAGATATAATAAGAAAGAAGTGCATCTTTATATATTTATTATTTTCTAAAAGTCTACATATTTCATTACTGTATTTTATTATCTAACCATTGATAGAAAAGATCCCAAATTTTATAAAATTGTTTATCTTCTTGTTCTCTATCTTGTCAATCTACTCATTTCAGCACATTCCAATAGTTTCTTAATGATTTCCTCTTGTGATGGTATTTTCTCATTTTTCCAGTTTTTAGCAAATACAATCCTAGCCACTGTCAACACGTTTACAATCAGATATTTCAAGTCTTTACTATATATTTCAGGTAAAATTCCCAATAAAAATATCTCTGGTTTCAAATCTATATATTTTTTTGTCATTTTTTCCAACCACATGTGGATTTTAGTCCAGTATTTTTTAGCATCCGCACAAGTCCACCACATATGGTAATATGAGCCAGGTGTCTGATGACATTTCCATTTCAGATTTATTCTTGAGCATTCTTGCTATTCTTGTCGGGGGAAAATGCCACCTGTAAAACATCTTATACAAATTTTCTTTATATGCTGTTGACATTGTCATTTTATAATTTTGAGACCACAATTTTTGCCATTTCTCTAAATCAATCCCATATCCAAAATTCTTCCCCCAAGCAATCATAGTTTTTTTAAGTTGTTCCTCTTCTAATTTAATTTCTAATAAATATCCATACAGTTTTTTAATCACCTTTTCATCAGTACCTGTCAAAATCTTATCTAAATCAGTCAATTTATCATAGAAACCTTCCATTTTAGAATCTTTATCATACCTTGAATGTATTTGCGCATATGAAAACCAATTTATCTTTATACCTTGTTCCTCTAGTTTTTGTATAGATTTGAGTTCCCCCTTTTCATTCAATATTTCACCCTATCTAACTGTTTGTTCCTTTTTGTATATTATAGGATAAGAAAATGCTTCAATAGTCGATAACCAGACTGGAATTTTCAAATAACATTGTCTTTTAATCTTCTCCCACTTTAACCACAGAGACTCCCGTATGTAATGTCTTCTAAAATACCCCTGTGTTTTAGTTCCTTTGTACCATAAAAAAGCATGCCACCCCAACAACAGATCATGTCCTTCTAATCTCAACAATCTAGTAGTGTTATCCATTCCTTAACCCACATCAGATTTGTAGCTTCATAGTACAACTCCCAATTAGGCAAACTAAATCCTCCTCTAATTCTAGCATCCTGCAAAAGTTTTAACTTTATTCTCGCTTTCTTACCTTGCCATATATATTTCAACACAATTTTATTTAGATCTTCAAAGTAATCTTTTCCAAGCCTAATTGGAATTGTTTGAAACAAATATAAAATTCTGGGTAATATATTCATCTTGATTGTTGAAATTCTCCCTATTAGTGATAGTTGTAAATTTTCCCATTTCGCCAGATCTAGTGCTATCTGCTGTTTAAGTTTGATATAATTATTCTCTTTTAATGTACTACATCTTGCTGTCAAATATGTCCCCAAGTACTTGATCTTATTCGTGACCTGAATTTTCAATAGGTCTGCCAGTTCTTCCTTTTCTCTTAATAGCATATTCTTTGTCAAGATCTTTGTCTTATCTTTATTTATTTTCAAACCAGCCACCTTTCCATATGTCTCTATCTTTTCTATCAATTTTGATGCTGTTTCTAAAGGGTCTTCTAAGATAAAAACCAAATCATCTGCAAATGCTTGCAGCTTAAATTCTTCCTTTTTGATTTTCATTCCTTTTATATTCTTTTCATCTCTAATATTTCTGTTTAGCACTTCCAAAGTTAACACAAACAACGAAGGTGGACACCCTTGTCTTGTTAGTGGGCATCCTTGTTTTGTTCCTTTTCTTATATCAATAGAATCTGTCAGTTCTCCCTCTATCATTACCTTTGCCGTTTGCTTATAGTATATAGCTTCTATTGCTTGAATAAATTTTCTAGCAAAACCCATCTGTTCCAACAGTAATAACATGAATTTCCAATTCACATTATCAAATGCCTTCTGTGCATCTAGAAATATCAGAACCATTTGTTTTTCAGGATGTGCCTCGTAGTATTCCAAGGTGTCCAAGATTACTCTCATATTGTCTTTAATTTGTCTCTTTGGCAGAAATCCATTTTGATCAGGATGGATAAAATTATTTAAATATTTCTAAGTCTTTCTGCCAATATTGAAGCAAAAATTTTATAATCTGCATTTAGTAGAGAAATGGGTCTATAGTTCTTAATTTGTAATGGGTCTGCCTCCTCTTTTGGAATAAGTGTAATATAGGAGTCTCAGTTCTTTCTTTTTCAGCTTTGTCTGGTCACAGGGAAATATTTTCAAGCCTCTAGTTGGCAGTGTTACAAAGTTTATTTGCTCTCCCCCTTTTCTGAGCAAGACATAATAAGAATTAATAAAAAAAAGAAAAAGATATTTTTTTAAAAAAGAAATAACTAAAGGGAGCCCCTAGCCTAAAATATTACAAAATCAAAAAGGAGAAAAAAAATTAGATGTAAATGAAAAAACCAGTCCAGTTTCAAAATACAAGATCGTGTATAGAAAATCCAGCAATAAGAAAACAAAACAAAACATTACTTTGACATTCCTGTTTAAAATCGCCGCTTAATCACTTCTGACAAAACTTTTACAGATTCTTTCTTTTCCTTAGGGTGTCCTTTCAGATCTTAGAATAAAAAAAAAGTTCTCACCAAACCGGCACACTCTCTCTTTCTGTTCTCTTCCGTTTCGGAGCTGTCCCAACTTCAGCAGCTTTAATGGCTGCCTCTTTGCCGCTGGCAAGAAGAGCTTCTCCTGGATCTACCAGGGACTTTGCAGTATCCCTGGGATCGACAGGATGCACTTTTCACTTTCACCATCTCTTCAGGATGGTTTAGATCCAATAGGACCATCCAGGAGCAAAGATATCGGCAGTGATCTCAGATCTCCAAGATCGCATGCCGTATCATCGCGACGCCAGCGACGCCCTCCGTCTATCTGCTTTTTTTTTTTTATAATCC